CAAGAAATCGAGAGAATTCACAACGAATTGCGCGAAGAGAGGGAACAGAATAAAAATTACGGTACCGTGAACAGAGCTCTGGTGTGTTACAGTCAGCAATTAGAACATGAAAACAATAGACAAAAGATGGAAAAAGATCACGCCATCCAGGCCAACAACACCCTGCGTGTCGAGATGAGGCAGCTTGTCAAGCAAAAAGAAGATATTCAAGAAAAGTCCAACCAGATTCTAGCAGAGCAAAAATACACGAAGTCTGATATCCTTTGGGGCATACCCGTGATAGCAACGGCAGGCATTACCCTGTTCTTAGGTTTCTTAGCCCTCCGAAGTTCTGGCTCCGTGGCGTGTTCATATACACCATGGAGTAGAAAATTTCAAGAGATTGTTTCATCCATCGGTGATGATGAAGAGAAGGACACAAGTAAGGAAGAACGTCGTTGAATATTTGTGGACATTGCGCAATAAGCAGGATTGTTTTGTCAGAAGATGGCATAAGGAAAGGAGAGAGAAAAGGAACAATGACAAGATAGGGGAGAACAAAGGGTGCAGCGGGCACCCCCACCCCCCTCCTCTAACTTTGGGAAAGAACCCCATTTTTGTTACGAAAAAGAAATAAAAAAGCGTACAACAAGCTAGGTAAGACAAAACATATGTCTTGTATTTTATGGAAGAATTGTCCACTTTTACTGCATTGGTCTTGCGAAACGAAGCAAAATGCGTATCATCCACCGCCAGAGAAACATTGTGTGATACCTATGATATCAAGTTATTTGATGTCATGAGAGTTTGCTGAGTTTGTTTCCGTCTAACATGTTTGAATTGGGGCTCTGTCAATCTCTAGCATGCGAGCGTGGTTCCCCCCTACAAACAGGTAACCACATAGCAGAGACTTGTCAGCTGCATCAGTGCCCAGGGTTGGACTCACGCAAGTCATTAGTCGAAAGAGCTAAAGACTGGCTTGAGAATGCCAATATAAGCCTTTGACTTTTGATTCTTGAGTGTACATTATCTGGATGAAAACGGACATTCTCATGTATATATATATAAAGAGAGGGAGTTTGCTGAAATGACTATGTTTTTAATGAGTTTATATTTAGTTAAATGGAATAAATTTACTCACAAAGAAAAGTGTGTTGCTGTTCGTAGACAAACAATTCAAACAATTCATCGCCGGCTATTGCAACTTTATAGTATTATTTCCGAGCCGCTTTTTGCTTGTTTTACGTGTTTGTCACTCAGTGCATTACAAACTGACATTTTGATGCAAATGCGATCTACTGTTATTATTCAAATTCCATGCTCTAAGCTCCGTTTAATATATTTTGAATCGTCATATTCAAAAGGAATTGTGCTTATCTTGATGTGTAGAAATTAATTTGTACAAATTTACTTGTTTGTCTGTAGGAGTGAGATTAGCGTGTGCTGATATAAAATATTTCTCTACACGTGGGATTGATTTTCTTTTCTTTTAAATACAAATAGGAATCGTCCACCAAACAAACAAACAAGCGCGTTATAACAATAGTGATTCGATCAATAAATGCATTGACCTGCCTTGTGCAGCTAAAGCCTAGATTACATTTGAAAAGCGATGCACATATGGTGCACGCTTACTGCCCGTAATACCCTTTTCGTACGGCGTCTGAGCGGAGGTAGACGGTGGCCCTGCAAAATCGCACGGAATCGTACAGAAGCTGTACGATTTTGTCAAGCTGTAACTTAGAAAGGGAAAGGAGCTGCTGTTGCACACCTGTACAATTCGATGGAACAACAACAACATCAACTTTTCAAAATGTAGATCTCAGCTACCACAATTTGGTGAATAATCTACGAGTTAAATTTAGTCAAATAGTGCATCAGTTTAGCAATCAGGGTCTTTGGCTGGATAAGTGCTTGAGACAGCTAAGGTGTTCAATACAGGTTATTTGCATTCCCCGTGGTACTCATCTAAACGCTGAAATGAAAAAAAAAGAAAGAGACGTGGTGGATTGGGAAAAAAGAAAGCGTCTAACACATCATACTGTAACAATCAGGGAAGTAGGCAAAGGAAATGTTTAAAATGCTTAAGACAGCAGTGAAGGGCTAAAGTACATGCAGACAGATCGTTTGTTATGTCTGCGGTACTCAATTAGAAAATGAACTTGGAAAAGTAAAAGACACCTGATGAACTTGGATAAATAAAAAGGCTTTTCGAAACATTCCATGCATAATGTTGATTTTTGTTGTTTATAAAGGGAGTTATTGGTAAACACAAATACGAATTAAAGTATTAACTTTAAATTTTACGAAAAAAAAATAGCAAAAGCGTGTGTCTGTTAAGAATTAATATTAATGCTATGGTTTTATAAATGTGACCCAACCAGTGAGCACACCTTACAGTGACGAGTTCATTTCACAGGGAATAATACATTATATTTACACGGGACTTACTGCTTTGTTCGGGGTATGCAGTAAAAAACCGCACGACATATGTGGCATCACGATTCAGATGATTGTATCCCTTTTACAAATATTAGATTCATTACACGTTTATTGGTTGTTGATTTTAGATCGCATTAAAATGTTTAGATTACATGGGTTTTGTTGTATTTTGGGACGTAACTGAAGGGTTGAGAGAGAGAGAGAATTGGAGAATGGGATGGAAGAGAAGATGGAAGGGGAGGGGATAGAAAGAGAGGCATGCAGGACGGATAATCCACAAAAGAAAGAGAAAGAAAGGGACAGGTAAAACAAGATAGAGAGAAGCGAGCTGAGGACGCTGAGGACTTTCATGACCTTGGGAGTTTAATTCCCTACATTTTATTTTGGGTTGCATACCGATCTCTTACTACACGCACTAATTCAAGATCTCAATTTGAGAAATCTCACCAGTGAGAGCCCTCAACACACAAAGGGTCTAGTTTCTCATTATTCCTATATATACCTACTGACAGCTTTATCCCCCACTGAACCTTTGTGCTAAGAAAACCTACCTTCGCCATCTCGCGTTACCGGTACTCTGTATTAGTACGAGAAGCTAGCTGCCTGGCGCCTTTTTATTTTTATTTTATCATTTCATTTTATTTATTTATTTATTTATTTATTTATTTGTAAAAATTCTCTCACGGTACAAAATATACGGATGAATAGCCCTGAAAACATCTGAGAATATCTAGTGAACATATGTATCCGTGACCCTGCTACAGGATACGATACCAAATCTACACTAAATACTAAAAAAAAGTTGAACCACTTCATAAGTTACGAAACCAATCGGTTGCCAGTCCAGCAGCAGTCCACGTGTTAACAACACACTCGATTATGCTTTTCTGCTGGGTGGGAGACTGAGAAGTGCAAATTACATTTTCAAAGGCGTTTTAAAGTTTGGAAATGTTATCTACCAGTACGCACTTGCACTGTTAAGGGTATGATCTATAAATATTCATGCATGTACTAGAAGTTTACGTTTGTTGTGAACTGAAGACCCATCCATTGACAAAAATAAGAGAAATCCAATTTGTTTTGCACTTCTAAAGATATTCCACAAACAAAATATAAGAAATCGACATCAGACGTAGATAACACCTTATAGACACTTATTGCTCGGTCTTTTTCAAAGGAAAAGCGAATAAAAAAGGCCTTCCTAGTATAAAAGTAGACAAAAATGTTGGACTTCAGGATCATGGGCTTTCCTTGTCAAATATACAGAATGTTATTTTAGAAAATGATGGTGAGTTCCCTCTCTATCTCTCTTTCCCTCCTCCCTCTCCCCCACCCATCANAAAAAAAAGCCCCCCATCTCCCACACAAGAAAATGCCTTCATAATCCTCCAACGAAGCTCAGTACAAGCGCAAACAAAATGACAGCTTTGGGTCAGTTAATACAACTAAGGGCCAGAGGATCCCTTAATGTCGCGATATCGACAAATAATCAAACCCCAGTTGACTGTCAATATTGCGTTCTATTACCCGTCTGCTGTCTTCGGGTCAAATTGTATTGACACTTCTTTTTGCGTCTTTTTCCTTTCACTCTTCTCTTTTTTCACATTTCAGTGGAGCTTGTATTGAGTGCAGTGTGCTTTCTATATCATATATTATTGCCTATTGACGAGATTAGATGGAAATCTCTGTTTTCATGTATTAAATCGTGCTGACGGGGTGTTAGGGGCCATTCTCCCCTGTGAAATCATTTCTCCCTTATTTACTTTGCTTTCACTGGCAAGTCACGATGTATGCGACAATGGGATTCAAAAGACGTCGCAGATCCATTGTCAACACATATCTTCTTCAAATTAAATTGGATTGTTCATCCATGTTATGATCTCTATAAGAATTCTTATCTGTAAGCAATCTGGATAGTAGATATTATTGTAAAATCCATTCAGAGTGGGACACTGGAAAAATATACTCTCCGCACCCCGGCCTCGGTTTGATTCACTTTTTGACATCTGTAAGTATAACTGGAATTGAAAGTATACCTAGTTCGAGGTAACAATATTAAGATGTTGCACAGCCCCTACATAGGAGTTTATGGAACAAAAAAGGGCAAAGGGACGAAATCTGATAAATCAGTCACGAATTTGATGTTAAAGACGAGTATTCTGTTATTGTTATCTAGAAGTGAAAGGACGAAATTGCGACACTGGTTTGAGGCGTTTTAAGGGACATTACACAAGGTCACACGATTTTTTTTTTATTTGATCGATAAATACAAAATTAAGGCGGCTATCTTTATACGGTGGTTAGTAAATAACTTAAAGCGGCATACCTTAAAGTAATTTTAAAAGTGAAATTCAGTCAAAGAAACATCTGCTGTATATCGTTAAATCCAAGCAAAGTTCATACCATTCAGCACAAAATATGTTTGACTTGCAGCACAAAAGGGGGATTATTTGATGAAAAAGTGATGAAAATCCAGATAACAATTTGCTTGATGAATAACCAGGCCGGAAAGCGCCTACAAACCCCTCCCTTTGGCGCCCTCCTCTGTAATCCCATTGAAAGCAGCGTCTCAAGCCCAAATGACGTGTGTGCCGTTCACAAACACTGAAAACACAAAACCGGGGGTCACGGACCGTGTAATTCGTATCACAAATCACTTCTCTAGGGTGGAGACGCTCCTAGCCGAGCTTAAAGCGGGCGAAGAAATCAAATGCGACGCTAGAGTCGTATTAGACATCGTATTGCGAGGCACAGATCGTCGATCATTTTTAAGACCGACGGAGTCCATGTAACGAGGAGGAGTTCACAACTGCGAGAGCGACTAGTTTAAGGCGACAACAAGATGCGCTGCGTGGTGTTAGCCCCTCTCTTCTTCGTTTCTTTGTGGTGCGCCACGGAAGGTATTATTTTCTCAATGCTAACCAAAGGAAAGCGCATTAAGAGAGCTGGTGCTGATCGCGCCGAGCAAGTCCCTGCACAGAGACTCCTTTCAGACTTGACCAAGCATCACCCAGATAGGAACATCGACAAACGAGACGGAAATTTGGACGACACTTACCACCAAGGGCTCTTTACCGATGGGTCTCAGGTAGATGACGTTAACTCGAAGGACGCCGCCGAGATAGCTGAAGAAATGCGAAGCCGACTGAAAAGTTTCGAGGCAAGACGGCAAGGGGAGGCGGTGAAGAGCGTTCTTAAAGAAGATGACGACTTATCGTTGCTGGACCAGATCGATAGCGTTTTGGGGGCACCGCTTAAGAAAGCACTCTTGGAGGTGTTGGATAATGAAATTAAAGGTGACTTTTATTTCTCTTAAATGTCTGCTTCCCTCCCTCCCTTTCCATCTCTCTCTCTCTCTCTCAAATCCCAATACGCTTTAATAGTGATTTTTTAAGAAGAGAAAAGCGTTTACTTTTCCCCTGATTGCATTTTATTTCCTAATTTCTTAACAATACTATAAATTTTAGTGCGCCTGTTTTTGTCTTTTTTTTAAGACACGGATAAACCTAGCACCACAGAGAAAAAATCTAACAGTGAGAAAATCGATGACAAAAACAACAAAGACTATCCGTTTTATCCCGAGAACTCCATTCCAAATCAGAACAGCGATGACACGGTTAAAACCTCCAAAGTGGACACAGCAACTCGGAACTTGGCGAGTTTCAAAACTGGAGTAGGAAAGAGCCGTCCTCGCACTCGTGTTTTGGTGGCAGCCAGCGCCCCATTGGCAGATCGCAACGCCGTGCAAAAGAAGGGCGAGATGTCAGCTTCGCCGTCGCAGCGACAGGCATCAACAGCGGCAAAGAATCCTGGTTCTGATAGCTTCATCGCAGAGAAGGAGACTCAGAAACCTCAAACACGGTTCTTAGTTGCGCCTGATCGCGCTACGGAAGAGAACAGAAATGAAAATGATGCCGCTGTTTCTTCGCAACACCAACAGCAGGCTAAGGTGGTTGACAAAAAGGAAAGTATTTCATCAAGTCTCGCAACTAGAGGGCAGATGTCGCACTTCCAGATGAGATATTTAGTCGCTCCCGATGCTCCAATCACCGAAGAGAAGGCGAGAAAGCAAGAAGCGATGGCAGATCACAACGCCGTACAAAAGAAGGATGAAGTGTCAGCGGCTGGTAGCTTTGTCGCAGACAGAGAAAACCAGAAACCTCACACACGGCTCTTAGTTGCGCCTGTTCACGCAAAAGACGAGCACAGAAATGAAAACGCTGATGCTGATGTGTCTTCTCGTCAACAGACCCAAACAGCTGTCAAAAAGAAAAATACTGCATCAAGTCTTGACACTCGAGGGCAGAACTCGCACTTTAAGACAAGATTTTTCGTCGCTCCTGACGCGCCAATCACCGAGGAGAGGGCGAGAGAACAAGATGCATCCACTTCTGATGTGGCCGATGATCGTAACGTTGATGAAAGTTATCCGGAACTCGAAGAAGACGTTGGCAATGAGGAACTAGATGAAGGTAAGAAAACTCAGTGTTATAAAATAATTTAGATTAATATCTTTACATATTTATTGATATCATGTCATTTAGTTTAAGTGATTTCTACAACAATAACATAATAACAAATTGATATTAAGACATCCTTTTGATTGATTCTCAGTTGATCATATTGAAGCTACATTTCACGTCACATGCATTACCCCCAATAAATAAAGTTTATTATTATTATTATTGTTGTTATTATTATAATTATTCATTTTTTTATCCCCCTTTGTTGTATAATTGTTTTATCAATATCAAATGATTAAAACAAGCAATATAATAATTTGTTAATACAGTAACTATTTTTGTCTATCTGCGTGTACTAGTTTCTAAATAATTAAACTTTGGTATTTATCTTTAAGATTTGGAAGGAGAAGAGGGCATGGACGACAACGTTGAGCTAGATGCAGGTATGGAACAGCATTTTACTTTTATCTATGTGCTAATCTTTATCGTTTGTGAAGAAAACAGCAAAGTATTACATGTATATAGTAGTTTATATTATGTTGTAGTGTGGCTCGATATGGTTTACTTATAGTACCACCAAATCAATTAAAATAGATTGTCTTCATACCCCTTTCTGTTTTTAACATTTTGTTGTAGATTTGATAATAGAAGAAAGCAGAGACGAAAACGATGAGTTAGATGAAGGTAGGGAGCAATATTTTGCTTAATTTCAAAATATAATTAATCATTTAAGAAGAGAAGATTGATACAAAAAATGTTATCTGGTACAACGTGCAACACTTTCGAGCATTTTGGTGCGATATAGGTTATTTTTAATTAACGTGCATTCATTATTTATCGTAGATTTGGAAGGAGACGAGAGCACTGACGATGACATGGAATTAGATGAAGGTAATAGGTTTAGGCTCTGTTCTCACAACTTTTAGATCGATCTATCACCGCGGGGAGTCTCACTAGATTACTGTCAGATAATCCCCCTTAAGTGTCCGTCCCCGCCTACTACAAGCTTTAAGGGGTAATTAACTTTCGTGCCCGCCCGGCTGACAGCTATTTAGCGTGAACCCCCAGGGAGTTAGGTCGATCCAATGTAGGTCGATCTAATCTATGAGAATGGGGTGTTAGACGCTTCTCTATATCTGATCAATAAGTTCAAAATAGAGACTTTCTTTTTTATAAAATGCTGAAATAGTCGTATTTACACAATTCAAATATATCTAATTAATATATTTACAAAGTTAGTTAGTTAGTTATAATTAGTTAGTAAGTAAGTTTGTTGATTGGTTATTTGGTTAGTTACTGTCAGTCAGATGGTTAGCCAGTTAGTCGCAACATGGAACACCAGTGTATGATGTTCGTTTATTATAAGGATTGCGAATTGACCAAGTGCTGTATTTTTTGTTTTAGATTTGAAGGAAAATGATGTGGATCAGGACCTGGATCAAGGTCAGGATGTAGACCTGGATCAGGATATGGACCAGGGTGTGGATCTGGATCAGGATGGGGACGCGGAAGCCCAAGTTAAAGGTGAGTTTATTGATGATCCTTTTGACAGTTTAAATGTCTAGTTGTCAACATGGCCTTTTTATTATTTAGTGAGCATAACTAGTATTTGCTTTGTGAAAAACAAAACCTGTTTTCTTCTTGGGAATATATTTTTGGATTGCTTTAATATGAAGGCTACGGATACTGTAGCTGTCTTAAGATTTCTAAATTTAGCTTGTATTACAGGCAAGTATTATTGAAGTTTGCTGTTTAAAACGCATTAACGGTCATTCGTGCACTGGAACTTATTAGTTTTTCTTCCAATTATTATTCCTTATTCAGACATACATCCATATGTTTATTTGTTTATACATGAGTAAATTTATGTTATCACTTACCAGTTGAACAACGCTGAACTCCCGTCCAAACACACATACACACACGTACACACACACACACACACAAACACACAAACACACACACACTCACACACACCCTCACAAAAACACGCACACAAACACAAAAACACACAAAGCACAAGGTATAATTTTGGGACTGGTGACCACTTTATTATTCTACATGTATTTATCAATTTATTTACAGAACATCCCAACCGCGTTGAGCAAGTTCCCGTAAAAGCATCAGACCACCGCCCCTCAGCTTTCTACCCTGAACAAGTACGAGGATATCATCCAACAGCAGTGGACAAGGCCGCAGGGGCAAAAGTAGACCAGGCGGCTCGTGCGGCTGCCAAGGCCTACATTGCTGCTCGAGAGAAAGAGGGCACTTTTGTTCGCAGGTATTTCGTAGCTCCTGATGCGCCGATTTCTGATTCGAGGGCCTCGAAGAAAAGTGCAAGTGCCATGGTGAAAAAGAGCAAAGTTGACAGTGATGGTACGGTTCTCTCTCCCTCTCTTTCTCTCTCTCTCTCTCTACAGAATATATATATTCTTCTTTTAATTTTTAATTGTCTTTTAAAAGAGAGACGGGGAAAATCAAATAGCCAGAAATCTCCCAATAATTTTCAATCGAATCTTGTCATTTGTAAACTGACTCTATACAGGGGTACAACATAATTTTACGAAACTTTGATGACTCTGTCAATATTCATTTTCTGCTTTGTTTAAGAAGCGATGGAGAAAATTCCAGATGACTTAGACTCCGCACCTGAAGATGGTTTTGATGACGACGACGAAAGTGGGAAGATAGAAAAACGAGCATGGAGTAAGTTCCGCCCTCTATTGGGATATTTCTCTATATTTCTCTAAAATGCAATTTGGTTGTAATTGAGATGTAGCGACTTTCTTTTTCAATTTCAATAAAATGTATTTCAATCTTGAAAATAATTTATGCTGATATCACAACTGAACTTGAATGATTCGTTTAGCTTTTAATGAAATACTGATAGAAAAAATATAATATTTTATGATTACTTTTGTAAGTTCAAATTCAATGTTCAAATTCATGTAGACCTATGGTTTTGGTAATTATAAGCCATCCCAGGATTACTGTTTTTAGAAAATCAGAACCCTCTTAAAATAAAATGCAATCAATATACAGTTAATCTTTTTCATATCTTAACAATGCTTTGGATATTTTGTAAAACGGTTTTGATCGAAAGTATGCGATAATCTTAAGGGGGTCTAATGCTAGATTACAGAACATTTCAAGAAAAATGGTGACATCTTCCTTATCTAAAAATCAGATTCATCCCCTTTGATGAGATGGAAATCTTTGTGAAAAAATGCGGCGCCGGACAATTTATTCATGATTCATTTTCAAATTTAAAAAAATTGTGTGTGTGTGTGTGTGTGTGTGTGTGTGTG